GTTCCCTTTTCACGCCTTTCGGCGCATCGGGCATATGGGCAGAGCGTCCCATATTTTTACAGACCATCAGCACTCTGTGGGTAATGTGGTCAGCATTACGCCGGCTGTCTTTACTTTCCCAGGACAGCCCATCCTGGTACCCATTTTAGGCTGGGTCGACCTGCGATGAAAATCCACGCAGCCCACGCAGGTTTCGATCGCGGTATGCTGGCTTACGAGTCGGACTCGCAACGCCTTAGCCACGGACGCCGCTCCAAGAATATAAATCCTAGATATTTAATTTCTCTAACTTGCTTCAGACAAATACCATTCATACATCCTAGATATTTAATTTCTCTAACTTGCTTCAGACAAATACCATTCAACCCGATATGTAGCGGACTAGAAATTCTATTGAACTCCATTCTTCTTAGTAAAAGTAAGTAAAGTAAAGGACCCTTTTCTATGCCTTGAGGCGTATAGGGCATGTAGGGCTAGACCTATATTTTTATTGACCAATCGTCACAAGATGGGTGATGTGGTCAGCATCACGTCGGCCGCCTTTACTTTCCTGAGACTGCACCCGGTACCCACTCAGGGTGGGTCGACCTGGGAGCCAAGGTCATTTTTGCAAAAGTCCGGCAACGCCAGGGATCGAACCCACGAACTTCCGATCCGCGATGGGCGTCTAGCCTCTCTGCCACGGCGACTTCCATTCTTCTGAGTGATAACCATAATTTCCGTTTTTTTTTCTTCAAATCATCTGTAAACCCTAGGTTACTAAAGCAAAGGAACCCTTTCCCCGCCTTTAGTCGCATTGGGCATATAGGGCTAGACGTATATTTTGTAAACCAATCGACGCTCAGTGATTGATGTGGTCAATCAATATCAGGATGGTCGCCTTTACTTCCAAGGACTGTACCTGGTCTGCTTTAAATCTGGATCGACCAAGGAGCCTGGCAACCTCAGGACCTGAACCTTCTAATAGACAGGGGAGCGTCTAGCCGCTCCACCACGGCCGCTCCTCGAGAACTATTACTGCATCCACTAAACACTGTATATCTGTTTCATTGTCAGCGATCAACACCGTTTCATCTTTACATCTTATACTATTGATGTGCTACCTCCTTCCACGTTGATATCCAACACACACGTTGTATCTGAATTTCTGGGATTTAAAGATTAAATAAACACGTTTTCCTGATTCAGCAATTGTAATTGTTGCTTTTTTTTTTTTTTTTAGTCATGTCTTGTTGCCCGACGCTTCAATGTAGTTTATAGTTAGAATTTGTATGCGAGTTCAGGTTCGGGTTCGAGCCGAGGGAAGGAACGAACAAACTTTATTTTCATGGCAGACAAGCCGCTTACTCCCCAGATTAACGGTATACATGGCACTAGGGCTGAAAGGCTTCAATGCCCCCCCCCCCCCCCACTTCCTTTCAGTATATGGCAAGACTCACATGACCTTCTTGGGAACCCCACACCCTTCGAGTATATGTAAAGACCTCACGCCGCCTTGAATATATGGCAACCCCCCCCCCCCCCTTTTTTTTTTTTCCACGCTCCATGGAATATAAGACTAAACCCCCACTTCCCTTATCGAACCTAACACAACAAAATTTGATTAAAAAGAGGAGGCTAATAGATTCTGCAACAAGAAAAACAGAAAGTATGGAGATACGTTTTGGTCAGAATGTGTTCTTAATAATCTGTAATTAGATGCACCTATTATTATAATAATTAGATTTGTAACGGTAGATATATATAAACTGATCATGATAGCTGTTGGTCACCAATATCAATGCAGTAAATTTACACAAAAACTTTGACACTTCTGCTCCATAGCATTGCTTTGGATATTTTCTCCAGGGGATGTCGGTGTGTTGGGAGATGAGCAGGCAGATAGACCGGCTGGCTCTGCACCACTTGGTGGTGTATTGATGTATAATAGGAGCAGAAAAGTAATAGTAGCATCAACAGCAACAGCAATAGTAATAGCAGCAGCAGCAATAGTAATAGTATTAGTAGAAGTAGCAGCAGCTGCAATAGTAATAGTACTAGCAGCAGCAGCAATAGTAATAGTAATAGTACTAGTAGCAGCAGCAGCAATAGTAATAGTAATAGTACTAGTAGCAGCAGCAGCAATAGTAATAGTAATAGTACTAGTAGCAGCAGCAGCAATAGTAATAGTAATAGTACTAGTAGCAGCAGCAGCAATAGTAATAGTAATAGTAGAAGTACCAGTGGCAGCAATAGTAATAGTATTAGTAGACGTAGCAGCAGCAGCAATAGTAATAGTAATAATAGAAGTAGCAGCGGCAGCAATATTATTAGTAATAGTATAAGTAGCAGCGGCAACAATAGTAATAGTAGAAGTAGCAGCGGCAGCAATAGTAATAGTAGAAGTAGCAGCGGCAGCAATAGTAATAGTAGAAGTAGCAGCGGCAGTAATAGTAATAGTAGAAGTAGCAGCGGCAGTAATAGTAATAGTAGAAGTAGCAGCAGCAGCAATAGTAATAGTAATAATAGAAGTAGCAGCGGCAGCAATAGTAAAAGTAATAGTAGAAGTAGCAGCGGCAGCAATAGTAATAGCAATAATAGAAGTAGCAGCGGCAGCAATAGTTATAGTAATAGTAGAAGTAGCAGCGGCAGCAATAGTTATAGTAATAGTAGAAGTAGCAGCGGCAGCAATAGTAATAGTATTAGTAGAAGTAGCAGCAGCAGCAATAGTAATAGTAATAGTAGAAGTAGCAGCGGCAGCAATAGTAATAGTATTAGTAGAAGTAGCAGCAGCAGCAATAGTAATAGTAGAAGTAGCAGCGGCAGCAATAGTAATAGTATTAGTAGAAGTAGCAGCAGCAGCAATAGTAATAGTAATAGTAGAAGTAGCAGCGGCAGGAATAGTTATAGTAATAGTAGAAGTAGCAGCGGCAGTAATAGTAATAGTATTAGTAGAAGTAGCAGCGGCAGCAATAGTAATAGTAATAGTAGAAGTAGCAGCGGCAGCAATAGTAATAGTAATAGTAGAAGTAGCAGCGGCAGCACTAGTAATAGTAGAAGTAGCAGCGGCAGCAATAGTAATAGTAATAGTAGAAGTAGCAGCGGCAGCAATAGTAATAGTAATAGTAGAAGTAGCAGCGGCAGCACTAGTAATAGTAGAAGTAGCAGCGGCAGCAATAGTAATAGTAATAGTAGCGGTCAGACGGAGCAGACGTATTAGCGAGACAGTGATAGTATATTAGAGTTAGGATATTTCTTTAGTGACTGCATAGATTATTTACAGTGTTCTGTTAGAATATGAAAGTTTTTTGTGCTGTGTATTTAACTGGTACAAGGTATTGTGTTGTGCCACAAGAGGTAAATAGGTTCCAGTTACTTCTGACCAGTTAAATCGTTTAGGAACATGTTCTGTGAGAGAATATCTAACCTTGACACTCTGACCCTGCACTAGACAGAGGCTGTGACATATTGGTTGGTCAGTGTGTCGATAGGTAAGAGCGTATCTCGTGACCGTGTGGTTTGTACACCAGGAGATTGCCTGTAGAAAGTACTGGGGAACGAGGCGATTGTAAAGCCCGTTCAGCCAGAGGGTCCAGGCAATAGGTGGCCACACAGCGGGAAGTCAACTGTCTATTGTATTACCTGTACTTGTAATAAAGATTGTCGTGTGTGCTCTGTGTGCGTTCGGATTCAGTGTGTGTCTAAGGTTAGTTTGTCTGTC